CAAGCTTTCGTACTTGCTCGATAGCATTGTGGAACATCAAGCGACGGAGAAGATCATTGTCTTCTATGAAAATGAGAATGTGGCATGGTACTTGGCCAGCATGCTCGACGTGGTAAGTAGGCACCTGCAGTCTATGCAACGAGAAGCTGACTTGACGAACACAGATTTCAGTGTCACACCTAATTTACGCCAAATCACTGGCATACGATCGAAAAATGCAGTATATTAATACATTCAACCATGAAGATAAGTTTCGGTCAGTATGCTACCTACCTGCTTCATCGAGTAGTCTCTTACACGCATAACAGCGTAATTCTCATGGACCTGTCCCAAGCAGCTGTTGGTCTGGATATGCGCGCGGCTTCGAGAATCTACTTTATCAACCCGGTCTTGAACCCCCAGATACAGGCACAAGCTGTCGGACGAGCTCGGCGTATCAGTCAGCAGAAGCCCGTTACAGTAGAGACGTTGATTCTCCGTGGCAGTATCGAGGAAGTGATTGTTGAGCGGAAGAAGAGCATGTCCCAGATTGAGCACTGGAAGTGCAAGACAATGTTGGACGACCGTCCGATCTACAACTGGATCCTGAACGCCGCCATTATACCGCTGCCCGAGGGCGAAATGGAGAAACTGGCTCAGGCAGTTCCGCTGAAACATCCCCAACCGGTATTCGGCAGCGGTTTCGGAAGAGAACACCACCCTGACCAGGACCTCATCATGGGTGACATTGGTCCCAGCTCACCCATCAAGAATCGACAACCGGCGAACGTCAACGGAAGAAAACGTTCTCGCAGTCCAGAACCAAGGAGTGCGCCTGCCCGCCCTGCGCGCAGAGCGCGATTTGCCGAAGACGATGCTGTCTCATCCGTCAACATCGCGATGAACGGCGAGTCGAGCACTGCAGAGACCCCGGTCAATGACCATCAGGAGAGCGTTCCACCTCAGGACTCGCACGAACTAGACACTAAGCCAGCTCGCCGAGTACAGTTTTCAGTGGCTTGATGACATGCCGACATATGGGTATCGTGTTTTGATCACGTTTTATAAATGATTGACTTGTATATAACATGAGAAAGGGTGCGGGCCCTCCTCAAGCGGCGGAGTGCCATGGTATGGTTTACCCACGGGTGGCAAGAACTGCCACCCGAGTCTGTATATAACGTTCATGATAGCAGCTTCATGGAGGCAGCCAGCTATACATACCTAATGACCAAAGATTTCGGACTTCACCCTTCTTCTCTCTTATGCAGACTGCGACGCCATCGGAGACGCATATGCAGAGCATGCGCGCATCGGGGATCCGATCTGAAGATGCAATGCAAGCCGTCGGTTGCCACAGGGATATCTGAGATCGCAGGACGAACTGCGTTGTTGTCTGTCCCTACACGCAGAGCCAAGCATGCGATGGCGTCCGAGGACCAGAGAGTCCTGAGCTATTCATAGTTGGATTTGGTGAGGTGTGAAGTCTGACCTCACGGACCATGTTGTTTTTCAGTCCTTGCGATGCTTGTTCCTGACCACGAGGCCTCGTTTATGAAGGGGACTAAGTTCGATGACAGCGGAACCCGGTTCACGGCAAGCACGTGTGGACGAACTGGGTCGTCCAAGGAACTGGGCCAAAAGAACGGACCGCCGGTGCATTTCTTTTGGCGAGATGGAGTTTGGACGTTTTTTTGCGCCCACGAACCTCACCTTAAATCCCGCGCGAGGGGCAGTGCGCGGCCCTCCGTCCGTTTTGGCGAAACCTCTGTGCACGAAGAAGCCCCTGCGAGCTGGGCATTGCTGAGATTTGTTTTTTCTTCTTCTGGGCAGAGAGATGATGGGATTATGGGTCTATTGGAAGAAGTGAACAAGGGTTTGCGGGCATTGGAAATAGTTTGATCATGGTGATTGGGGTTCTTGGACTTTTGTGCCGAGACGGCGGCGGCACGCCGTTGTGTTGTAGCTAGGAATATCACACGCGGGTGGGGAGGAACAAGCACCCACTCTCAAACCGAGATATCCGTTCAACGGGGGTGGTTCAGCCGGCAAGAAAGGCGATGATGCAATGCGGAGATGTCGGCAAGCCGCCGCGGCCCCCATTGCCCCGGAAAGAGAGGCTGGGAGTCAGGTCGTGTAGGTTTGCGGTGACAGGAAGATCCCCACTCTGGCTTCCGGTGACTGTCCGTCCCAGTTTCCGGGGGGCGGCGACTGAAGAGGAAGAAGAAGAAACGGAGGCGCATCATGACGCCTGTCTCGTTCAATCTGTGACTGTCAAGTCTCTGGGCTGTAGGGCGGGAGGCGTCTGGTCCACACCATCCACATCCAATCCTTCCAAGTTTCATGGATCCTTTCTCAAAAGTCGGCTGTTGAGAAAGCCTGGCCGGTGGCGCCCTTGCAGCAGCAGCAGCATCATTATCGCGCACTTTGACGCGCAAGCGGCGGCGCCGCCAGGAACAGACGCGGGTGCATTAGGCCGGCGCTCGCTACGAAGTATCTCGTCTGCGACACAGTTTAAGAATGACAGATGCATAGACAGAGCCATTGTCGTCGATAACATTCCTCGCCCTCAAAGGGCAGGAGGAAAAGTCCAGAGGTTGGGGCGTTTGCGCTAAGAGTTGGGCCTAGGGCAGGAAACAGCAGGGACGCCCGTTGAAACGAGTTTCTCACCAGGGCAACGATTTAGCCCAAACTAGTTACCTTGCTCCGATCTCTCGGGACTATCCCCTCCAGCATGTCTATTTGCATTCCACCTAAAAGTCCCATCACCTTCTCTCGGCTCGGCTTGGGACGAAGGGCAAGCAAGAGAAGATGGGATGGCCCGGGCGGGAGGGCTGCATACCATATCGACGGCACCGCTCTCGGGCTGTTATTGAGATGAGTCGTGAGATCGAAATTGCAATGATTACGATAACAGCCCTGGGCAAGATGGGTTGCTACGAGTGCGCGGGAAGTCAGCGGGAGGCGGATGCGAGTAAGCGCCTTTCAAGATTGACGAGGCGTCGTTGATGCGACCTCAGCACGCGCTACGGCGTCCAGGGTGCAAGCCGGGCCTCTCAGCTCTCAGCTGGGGAGGGGAAAAGGGAGCCCGGTGGGATTTGCCATGTCGTCCGTTGGAGTTCCCACTCCAAGCAGCATCGACGGCATCCTGTTCCTGGTGTGCTGGAGAGAGAGAGTGTGGTTTAGCCAATCCGCCAAGGCAGGAAAGCAGCGGCGTACCCGATGCTGCAGCCCTCGAGGTTCCAGCCCCGTCTGTGCCATGGATCGAAAGCTCGAAACACTCCAGACCGACAATCCCGTCATGGCCAGCTGCAGCAACAGCCCCAGTACGTACGTCCTATCCAATCTTGGTGGGCGAAGGTGTGTGTGTGTTTGACGCTGCAGGGCGGAACGGGATCTCCCCAACCTCTCGCCGATATGCTTCCCGGGTCACCTCATTCGTTGGTCTGAAGGTCCGGACGACGAGCCCTGGGCGAAAGTGAAAAAAGATGAGACCAGACGACGAGAGGGAGCGAGCTTAGGGCCGTTCCAGGGACTGGGCTCTATTTGCCCGAGACGACTACCAACGCACAATCACATCACCATTGCCTGTCCATGTCTCTGTTTCTCTGTCTCGCGTTCTCTGCCTAGGTGCTTCACATGAAAGGACCACGGAAGACGACGGCAACGTGCGCAGCTCTGTATGGGCTGTGTGCATGGCCTGCATTATCCAGAGGAGCCTATTGCTGGACGTCGATGGCGGTTCATCGCAACCCCGCGAAACGGGGGGGACAGGGAATCATGGCATGTGCCTTGGCCACCTCCAGACAGCCCATTGGCCGCGAGCAAACCCGGGAGTCGTCGTCGTCCGTCCCAGCCGCCTCCGCCACGCAAGGAATCGCCCGGCGGTCCAGAAACCTCGTGCAAACCCACTCTGTTAACCTTGATTTCTTACTTTGCACACACAAATGTCGTCTTGCGCTGAAATGGAATTGTGGGGAGACGTGGATGGATACAGCCTGCGACACATCGTCGATTTGATGGAAGAGGCGCGGGACTGGGCTAGACGAAGGGGGGGGGCACCGTGGAAGGTAGAGGGGTTAGATTGCCCACATTCCAATCATTCATGCCGACTAAAGCATGTCCCAGCCGCTGTGTTGCAGAAATGCTGCCTCCATATTGCGTTGCTTTGCGTAGAGATGCGGTAAAGGGCACAAGAAAAAAAAAAGTTCTCTGGACCAGGCCTGGTCCTTGTGTGTTCTGGGTCTTGCTGCTTCCTGGTCTGAGGGGGCGAGCGCCGACACATGGACATGTCTTACCGTGCCCACGACATGACGGATATTTCGAGCGTGCGTGGGTTGGGGGTGTTGGGTGAGGCGTGTGTGTGGTCGTCCTCGAGAGAGAGTGGGAGGAGCCTGATATAATGCGGTCAGCGCATGAGATTCCGCAATCTCGTCCTTTTGCCCTCGCTGCTCATTTCTCTGTGTGTTTCGAGTGCGCGCAACCGCCCCCCTTTCTCAGCATTGGTATATATTTGTCTCGACTCGTTCCTTGATTTTTTATTTTGGTTCTTCGAAATTGCTTGGGTATATGGGTCCCGGCCGGATTATCTGAGCTTGGCTTCCACTGTTTCCGACCCCTATCCTTTCAGCTCAGCTCGCTTCAGTCCCTGCTTGGTGATGACTTCAACTTGGTAACGGGCGGGTCGGCTACTGAATCGAGAACCCACACACGACAAGGCAACGACGGCAACTAGCCAAGCTCCCCACGTTGGAATATATTAAAAACACACACAAAATTACGGCACATCGACCTCATGAGGACCAAGGTTGCGGGCACCCTTTGGCGACAATAAAAAGGGCAGTCTCCCCCTCAGACGGCCCCGGCGAGCGGTGCGGCTGAAGTTTGAGTGAGAAAGAGAAGAGAATTGTGAGGAGCGAAAAAGAGTCGGTCAGCGCCCCAGCACGACGGAATCTTACCGAAGGCCAAGACGAGGAGGCAACGAGCCATTGAGACTCGGAAAACCCGAAATACACGGCGAAATGATTAGCGGACGGCAGTACTACGAGATCCCACCCGCTGGCGGCGGCGGGAGCGGCGGCGTCGTCATCGGCGGCGGCGGTGGTACCCGTGGTGGTGCGGGCAACCACGCGATGAACGGCCACGGCAGCATTCATCGATTCGACCCGACATACGTTCCCGGCTACGGCCACGGCGTGCATGGTTACAGTCGGGGCCACAGTCACGGTGGTGGTGGCTACTACGATCGCAACCGCGGGACGCGACTCCAGCAGTACGGCGACGACGACGACGATAGCAGCAATATGAGCATCAACCACGGCTTCAAGCCTGCCCCCGCGGCCAGGCAATCCCTCTCGGCGCTGGACGAGAAGCGTGCCAACGAGATCCGCCGGGGCGTCTACGCCCACGTCTTTCTCGATGTCAAAAATAGCAGCAAATCAGAAGTCTCGTAAGTCCCTCTTTCGTCCTACTCTTTGGTTTTCGCGCCTCCGTCTTTCATTGGCTGCCCCCGTCTCTTGGGTTCATCATCCACCTTTGTTTTCCATCGCAATTTGTTTCTCGTTTTCGCGCGCGCGCGCCAAAAAAGCCGTCCGTCAGGCTGTCAGTCTGTTTTCTGTCCTTCGCGCATGCACACTTCACTTTGCATGAGAATGCGTTCGTGTTCGTCTCTGCAGTCGGATTTACTAGTCATTGCCCGGATCTGCTAGTCATTTTGTACCCGCGTGCCTCATGCTGCAGCACTTTTTCTGCTGCTGCTGCGCCCTCTTCGACGCCTGTCCTGACTTTGAGGATGGTTTCATCCATTTGCGAGTTGGGACGGGGTTGTTTGGGCTTCAGGTTCATCCGATTATCCCGTTTTGTCAAAGTCAATCCCTGGTACCCACGTTGTTTGCGCATGCGCATGTTCATCCTGCGTTTTTCTGTTTTCCCACCGTTTCTTGCCCACATTTTAGAAAAAAATCTGGAAATCTGGACGACGACTTTGGATACAAGTCCGACTGTTGTCGCGTCGTTCGATCTCCCGAAAGAGTTTAATGGGGCGCTGCTCCACGCCTCATTTCATCGGCGCCCGATGTTTCCAAGCGGGACGTGGAGCTGAGCCGACGGGGTGCCTGCTTAGTGTTGGTTATTGGAAATGCTCTCTCCATTTGCACTTGCACTTGCTTTTCGGGGAGGCTTGGAAAGACAAGACACATGCAGCAGCAGCATGCGGGAAAAATCCCACAGACCAGCAAGCCGCTTCCTTCAATGCCGCAGCCGTTCCTCGAACCTGCTTGTTCTGAAATTGCGTCCCCACGAGATCTTCCGCCCAGCCTCGGCGCGGGCGGAGACGAGAGTCGCTCATCGCGAGCTGTCACTTCTGATGATGGGAACGCATCGTCATCCCCCCAACATGGATGGAGCTTTGGTTCCCCCGAGTTCGACTTCTGCTCCATGTCTCCCCCTTGCCCGAAAAGACACACAGCGCAACATACGACCCCCTTGCTCTTTCATCTCCAATCTCCAATCTGCAGCTCAAAGTTGGGCAGACCCATGATTTGAATCATCCTTCATCCTTGCCAGCAGCCGCAAATCACCCACCCTTCCGACCTGGAGCGGACGCTCTCAATCACTTGGTGCCAGGGAGCACGAGAACGGAGACTGCAGACGTTTTCTCGGAAGGAAACGATAAGCCCAACAGGAACCAGGGGACCAAAGGAGCTTCCTAATTTCCACCAGGAACAGTGGCGCGCGTCTCTGTCCAGTGGCCGGCTAGGACAAGACTCGCGCCGCTACCCGCCAAGCGGCACGATACGGCTCCAAGGCTGGCTGCTGCCAGAGACCAACAAGATTTTTTTCCTTCTCTTCCTCTTCTCGTCCCTTTTCGCGCCGCACATAGCGTAAGCCCTAGCGCAAGTGCTAGAGTAGGGAGTCGTCGTCGTTCGCCGCGCCCACGTTGCCGGGTTGCGCGACTCGACTACGGCGTTGCTTAGCCCGGCCGCCTTGCAACGCCTTCCCAAGACTCGACACGACACCCGCGACAACCCACGGCTGAGGTTCGCCGGTCCCAGGTGGCAGGGACCCCCTTCAAGCTCCAAGTGCGCCCCCAAGGGGGTTGTGGGAGGGGTGGGAGGGCCCTTGGTTCCACGGCCCATGGCAACCCCCCCCCCCCCCCCCCCCCCCCCCCCCCCGCNGGCCCCCCCCCCCCCCCCCCCCCCGCCGGTGGATGGTCGATGGGCGGGCACCCATCAGTGCCATCACGCTCCATTGGGATAGGATGATCAGAGCCATTGTCTGAGCACTGCCGATGCACCTGTCTGTCGTTGCGTTTTGTGTGTGTCTTCCACGAATGTGTTGGTGTCCGTAGTTACGGTACATAGTACCTTACCTTACGCAGCCTGCCTCCGCTGAAAGCCTAGGGTCCAGGCTACAGCCTCCCCGCCGGTGCCAGCGCTGGTGCGAGTGCCGGCCTCTGCGCTGTTTTCCTCCCGTCTTTTCGTATTAAACATGACTGAACCCCCCCTTCGTCACGTCATACTGGCGCTTGTTTAATCTTCTCTTTTTTCTCGCTTTCACTGTTTGCCGATTGCTTGTACTTTCTTGGCTTGGAGACTGGAACTGGGGCCGTTGCCGATTTCCGATTTCCGATTGCTCTTGTTGGATTTCACCTATTAACAAATCTTCTCCCACCACAGTAGCAACAACCCGAGAGTCCAACAACACAAGAGACGAGCCTCCGCCTCACCTGCTGCTTCCACTTACGTCGTACACGATGGTAACCGCCTGAGAGTCCCTGGCCGTTTCTCTTCACGTCCATCAGTCGCTACCGCAGTCACCCTGACCCCCGTCATGGCCGCCAGCCACGGACCGGCCCCAGCATACTTTGGAGCCCCTACGGAACTATACTCCAAGCGTGATTCCTCGATGAATGCGATGAATTCGATGGCACCCGCACGATCGAGCCCGCGGATAGCCCGCGTACCGTACGCCCTGCAAACAACACCCGCCGAATCCAAGGGTGTCGTCGAGGCCATGCCCGTCACCCCACTCAACAGACCGCGGAAGCTCTCGCAGGCTTCCACTGTCACCGTAACCAGCGTCAACAGCCCGAGGGACAGCTTCGACTCCAGGTCGAGGAGCTCGTCATGGAGCAGCAACAGGTCCAGTTTCGAATCGAGGGACTCGTGGAGACCTGACTACCTGTATCAGCGACCCAGCCAGCCAGTCGTCTTCAGGAAGAAGGCCCAGCCTGGGGAGATCTTTGCAAAGCTGCCTGGAGAGGTGCTGGAGCTCATTCTGGGCGAGCTTAAGAAACTACATCTTGACAAGGGTAGTGAAAGCTGTGCGACATGTTGGATGAGGGATTTGTGCTCCATCAGCCTGACTGCTCGAAAATGGTGCAAATACGCACGAGTGGCATTGTAAGGTGGTCTTCCCTACGACACCGTTCTGTTTGCTGACGACTTTAAGATACGAGGATATCCAACTGGTGGGACCAGACTCGACCGCGCAGAAGAAGAAGTACAAGCTCGCACTCGGCTCCCGAATGATGCTTCTTCGACGGACTCTGAGATCGAACGCGTACCTCGCCGCCATGGTTCACACCGTGAAGGTTCCCAGCCCGCCCGTCGGTGTCGCGCTGGAGGATTATCACAACCAGGTGGCCGCCCTCATCATGGCTTGTCCCAACTTTGAGCGCCTCATCGGCCTTCACCCTCAGTACAGCCACTCTTTCAGCAAGCTGTACCACGCCCTCTCGACCCGCAAGCGTCTTAAGCACATGGACTGGGTCGTCCAGCCCTCGCCGTTCCAGCGACAACACCGATTGGGCCGTTCGAACTCTTCTGATAATGTCCCAACATTAACCCAACGCCAGCGCGAGATGGTGACGCCTGGCGATCTGCAACCGCACCAGAGCGCGACTTTCCTCGAATACCACGTCGACTGGGCTCACCTCAGCACTCTGACGATTCACTGCCTCCCGGGCGCGACGCTTACCCCCGATAACCTCGTCAGCTCGGCGTTGATGCACCTGACGTCCTTGCAGCACCTATACCTGTCTCACATGCCGGTGACCGCCTTCAACGACAACGCCCTCCTTTCGCTCCCTCCCTTGCGCACACTATCTCTTTCCCACGTCCCCGGTGTCACTTGTGCCGGAATCTCGGCCTTGGCGACTTTGCCTACTAGCCAGGCGATTCAGAAACTGACTCTGCGCCACATCAACCTCGAATCCCTGCCCGCCCTGGCTCGCATCTTCTCCAACTTCACCTACCTCGAAGCTTTCACCCTCGTCCAGAGCTTCGCCCCTACTCTCCCCGAGGACACTTTCATCTGGCTCATGCCCTACCTCGCGTCTGGTTCCCTGCGCAAACTCCACTGGGACATCACAAGCAACACCACCCACGCAAACGCAGCGGATTCGATCCTCGCCCGTAGCATCGCAGCCTCCGGCTTTCCCTCCCTCCGCAGCCTCCGCACCCCCAACGATCCCGAGGGTATCTTCCAAGCCCTCTGCCGCCCCTATGAACGCGTCGACCTCGCCAGCGACCGATTCCGCCAGCCTGTTGCCCGGAGCGCCTCTTTCCCCGCCGCGGCGCCCGGTTCACCTACCAAGTCCAAATTCCCGACCAAGGCCGCCACATTGCCGCCCACCGAGACATTCCTGGAGTGCACCGATCTCCACCAGGCCCGTCTGGCAGCGCAGGCCCGCCTCGAGGCCGCGCGGCCGTTCCCGCGGTTCTTTGTCAATGTCATTGATGAAGACGGCACACTGTTGGAGAAGTACGGACTGGCAGGCTTCATGGGTACCATTGAGAGCCGCATCTCATACAACCTTCGTCCGGACTCTGGCGCGAAAGACGAGCGTGGCGGAATAGTAGAGATGTCAGACTTGATGGCCGGCAGCAACGGCGAGGACATCCCCAATGGCAAGGAAGGATGCACCGGCCGCTGGAACGTGTCCTCGTCGGCGGCGGAGAAGAAGGATAAGGAACGGTGGTGGCACACGGAAAGAGGCCGGTGGCACCAGCCCGAACTTGCGTGATGATGAAACGTAATCATGGAGGCAATACCCCTTGTGCTCTGGCTTTTTCTTTTTCTTTTTCTCTCTTGTTTCTCCATGACGACCTACTCATGATATCCAAATTGTCTTGGACGCGGAGATAGATACCAAACGAAATCTGGGATGGCGGAAACGGATGTGTATAGATGTACTTAATGTTTTATAACGGTATTTAAAGGGCCCAACGACAGACGGCGAGAGATACAAGATGAAGCCAAAAAGAAGTAGATAGGCCAGGAAAGAAATCAACAGCACCTCTTTGACAGGGGTTTCTTCACTATTGATTGATTCATACTTCTGCTATGTTGGCTGTCCTGTTTGTGGGGGTCTGTGAAACCTTGTCAGGAGACTTTCCAGAAAAAGGAAGTGTTTTGTCCTCCAAGTCCAGTTGCCATGGTGTTTCGTTTTGCGTGGAATTCTCTGGAAGACGGTCCGTCCGGCTTGTGCTTCAGATCATCCGTGGACGGTGACATGCATCTAGGTATCCAAAGAGCTTACATCAGCGCCCCCAGACGAGAGCAGGTCGCAAGCCGTGACACAGTGGGACCAGGAGATGAAGCAGGCACTGCCTCTCTGCTGTTGCCTGTGCTCACAGTCATTGTCAGTCATCGCGTGCTGAGGTGCCTGGCTGCCTTTTGAGCATCAGGTATGAAGTACCATACATAGGTATGTTCGGCTGGCTATTCGTACTTGGACATGACTGGCAGTGAGGGTGGGCGGGGGACCCCGGTGCGCTGCAGTAGCCTTAAAACCCGCCCAGGGGACTCCCCATCACAGGCGGTTCCCTTCCTCGCCATCCCTCCCCCCCTTCCACTGGACCCGTCCCCGCCCCCACCGTAGGTAGGTTCCCTGTCCGTCAATCCCGTGCGCGCAGTGACCACCCGACCGCTGCTGCCTCCCCACCTGACCTCAGTCACCTCCGTCAGCCTCAACGACCTCCGACATCTACAGTATCTCGACTTGCACCTCTCACGTACCAGCCGTTCATCTCAAGATAGATTTGAATATCCTTCACCGCCTGAATATCCTCTTGTGTCGTACCTCCGACGCTAACAGCCTTGCTTCATTTGCACCATCACCCGCCCTCGATTGCATCATTCAACCGGGTACCTCGCCACAAGCCTGGAAGTACATCGGCAGCAGCCTGGAGACAGCCTCCTGGGGACCACATTTCCGTCCGGAACAGACCGACAGACGACGAACAGGACGGGAGCCAGGAAAAGAAAAACTGCACATAAGCCACGGGAAGCGGTAAACCAAAATGGCCAAGGAGAAGACGCTCCGCATCTTTTGCTTCGGCGACTCGCTGACGGCCGGGTTCTCGGCGTACGGCTCAGTCTACCACCCGTACTCCATCGCTCTCACGCAGAAGCTATCCAAGGACTTGTCAAACACGCAAGTCATCGCCACCGACAACGGCATGCCGGGAGATGTCGTCACCCAGGGTGCTTTTGCACAGCGGTTCGCGAGCGAAGGTCCGTTGCCGCCGTCCACTTTCATCTCACACGATATCTCACTTCACGTCTCACTCATAGCTTCCCATGTATGATGCTGATTGAAGAAATGTAGTGAACTCGGTATCATTCGATCCGGCCGCCGGTAAATCGGTTCCAACGGTGTACGACTGGGTTATTATCCTGGGCGGCACAAAGTAAGTTCGAGCTCATTCATTGTGGCCGCGTCTCAAATAAGTGCTCATGTTCTGCAGTGACTTGGCATATAGCGTGCCTCCAGAGAAGATTTTCCAGTCTCTCTTAGCAGTTTATAACACAGCCCTTGAGAAGGGAAGCAAGGTTCTTGCGTTAACAGTACCCGAGACGGCCATTAAGCATACGAAGGTAGACGCCGCGCGGAGTCAACTCAACTCTGCCATACTCTCACATGAAGCGCCAAATTAGTACGTCAAGTCTACTTCTTCACAACCCAAGTCGTCACGCGAAAAGGAGAGAAACACTGACTGCAGCTAAGTTACGCCTTTGATCTCAACGCCAGAATCCCCTACCACGCCCTCCCAGACAGAGAGCGTAAGAAGTACTGGGACGACGGAGTGCACTTGACCCCGGCAGGCTACGACTGGATGGGCGGCCACATCGCCGAGGCGCTGGGCAACTTTATCGAACTAGAGCGCGACCCCAGCTCGCGCAGGTCACGACGCACGAAGCGGTACAAGGAAGAGGACATCTCCTTTGACGAGGAGTCGGGCGACCCACGATCACTAAGTGAGGGATACGTGGTCGTGCGGATGAGAGACTTGGATTAGATACCTTTTATGATGCACCCTTCTTCTTTTGCTGACATCTCTCTATTGTCGGCTGCCTGCCTTTTCGGCTGCCGAGGTGCCCTCTCTGATGGGTGGTCTTATGTGCTATGCTTGTTTTGTGTGATTCCCCTGAACGCCGGTGATCCCCCTTTACAACGCCAGATATGTTCATCATCCAGTCGTAGCCGTCATTTCATACAACCAAGTTGGCCTCCACGAATTCCTGAGTCGGACGATGATTAGCCGCGTTTGCACAGAGTATGTCGAAGAAACGGGTGGTACTCACGGGGAACTGCTTCTGTAAAGCGTTGGTCACGTTCTCGACCTCCTCGGCCATGCTCTGCACGTTGGCATCCCACTGCCTCATCTCCTTGCCGACGGTCACCTCCGCCCGCCCGCTGCCCTTCTGGCCCGAGGCCTCGCCGCCCTCGAACCAAATCACCTCCTCGAGCTGGTCGATCCGGCCGAGCAGCCGGCCCTGCTCAATCATGCGCGCCGTCGTCTCCTCCGCCTTCTCCCCGTCCAGGCCGAGCAGCGAGCCGAGCGCCTCGAAGCCGATGTTGCGGTACAGGCGCGAGGCACCTAGCAGATTGTGCTCCACGACGGCCTTGGCCAGGACGGTGGACCCGTCGGCCGTCGTCGCGAGCTGGTGCGGCTGCAGGCCCTGCGCGAACTTTTCCACCTCCGCGGGCGCGAGCAGCCTGTCAAAGAACATCTTCTCCAGCATGCCGAACTCGTCCAGCCCGGCGGACCGCTCGTCCTTGTACAGCTTGCCGAGCGCGCGGCTGCGCATCGGGCCGGCAGGGGCGAGGATGGCGCACTTGACGGCCATGCTGAGGGTGTGCAGGCGCTCCTCCTCGGCGATGGCCGGGCTCAGGCTGATCTCGTGGTAGCGGTTACTGGCGCCCAGAAAGTCACGCTTGGAATCCAGGATGCGGGCCTGGGAGAGCTTGAAGTGCAGGTCGAGGTCGCGGTCCTGGACGGTGTGCATGATATTCTTGAGCTTGTTGACGTACGTCTCGGCGGCGGTGGTATCGTCGACCTCGAGGTAGTTGCGGGCGATGCGGACCCAGACGCGGGCCTTGTCGTCGTTTGTGACTTTCCGCTGGGAGCCGTCGAGTGGGATCTCGGCGAGGGACTTTGCGGCGTCGAGGAAGTCCTCGTTGTTCTCGTGGGCCTCGGCGACGAGCTCGCGGACGGCGGCGGCCTGGTCGAGGAAGGAGGACGGCTGGGCGCTCAGCTGGGAGAGGGTATGCGTGCCGACGGCGATCCAGAGATCGTCGTTCTTGAGGTCGCGGAGGACCTTGACGAAGGTCGTGAGGACGGCGCGGGTGGACACAATGCCAAGCGAGGCGGCGAAAAAGGCATCGAGCACGGCGTTCAGGTCGGAGGTGATTGTCGGCGGGGAGGAGAGGTTCTTGATGTCGGTGATGATGGCCTCGTAGGCCGCTGCCTTGTCGCCTGCGGACTCCGCTTGGGCGAGCCGCTCGGCGACCTTTTGCGAGGGCGCCATCGTTCTTTGCTTTTTCGTCGTGTGTATGTTCTCTTCGTGGGATTGAGTGGTAGTAGTGAGGTTCTTGTCTTTGGCGTTATGGTGTTGAAGTCGTGGAGCTGGAGCTGAGCTGTCCGTTGGTCGTCATTGGTAAGGTTAGGCAGGCAAGGTGGAATGGTGTGGGGTAATAGCTTCGGAGAGGTTGTAGGGGTGCAAGGGCCCACCGTCAAAAGGCAAAGGCATTTATTTGTACGACGGGGGCTTGTACAACGAACGGAGCTCAACATTAGAACGATTTCATGTGCGATTCAGTGAGGCACTAGGATTAAGTGACCTACATTATCGGGGATTTTATAGAAAAATCGCTTCCATCGCTCATCACCAACTGTTTCATACTCTTATACTTCAGTCAGTAAACAACTTCATATACACAACAAACGATTTCGCCTTGAGCTAGAACGACTTCGAGATTCTGCGCTACTAGATTGAGTGCTCACAATTGGAGGAGCTGCTCTAATAAGGCACTGCCCAAGTATCTAAATAGACCGACCGCCTAATATGAGTACCCGACTACTCGTATAAGGACGAGAGTGACGACAACGACGATAGTATCAAGGACAATAATAGTAAAGCAGAGCAAGGTATATAACTACAGGAAAATACATCGCTTTAGCACAGGAAGAATAGACTCTTTTCAATTTACGAAGGCCAGTCTCATAGCTGTTGTGAGGATAGCAGTGTACGTCACTAGTTCCCAGTCGGGCCGGACCCGCACTGGCATCACAGGTAGCTGGAAGGGAAGCTCACAAACGGGGCAAGTTGCTCAAAACCGACTTGTTGATTCAGCCTCAAAATTTACCCCGTCGGTGAACAGTCGGAATCAAGGAGGCTGGTTTTGTCAACATTCGCTGTACTATTTTAAAGCGGTCGCGTGTCTGGGCTATCGGGATTTTTTGCCAAACACGACTCGCTCTCACCCCGTCAATTTTGACCACCCACGATCGCGCGGGACAGGGATCAGCCGGAATGCATGGGAGTTGTGAATGCATTAAATTATGAACGGTGCGCGGGTATCTTTCCACACATCGGCCCACCATCAGCCGATGATGACGAACGAACCCTTCCAGCTTAGATATACACTTTTTCTTTCCTCGGTGTCTTTTTCTCTACAAAACACCATGAAAATGGTTCGCTTCACCTCGTTTACCCTCGAGAGCTAGTGTTGCAAGACAATCGGCTTCCCCGCCTCCCAGTTGTGCAGGCTCTCCTGGATATTGACCCAGTACCGCAGCTTCACCGCCTCCCTCTTGGCCGTATCGATATCGTCGTGCCGGAACGCCTCCTCCAGCACCTCCTCGCTCTCGCGTATCCGGCCCTCGTTCGCCGCCCGCTGGCCCTCGAGCTCGCTCTCCGCCGCCGCCTCCTCAATCTCCTCGCGCGCCTCCAGCACCACCATCAGCAGCTCCGGGTCCTCGACCTTAAGCGTCTCGTCGTTGGCCACGTCCACGCCCCGCAGCTGGAGCAGGTACTGCGCCCGCAGCAGCGGGTTCGACAGCGTCTTGTACGCCTCGTTGATCCGCGCTGACGTCGCCTCCGCCCGGTTCTTGAGCTCCGCCGGGTGCATGTCCGGGTGCGCCTTGGCCTGCAGCCGGAGGAACTCGCGCCGGAGAGCGCGCTGGTCGATGGGGAAGTGGCCCTTGGGCGGCGGCCCGTCCGGGAGCGTGATGGGGAAGAAGTCATAGTGTGTTGCCGGCGGCTTGCTGCCGCTCTCCTGCGCGGAGGAGGCCGTCTGCTCGCTCGACGCCGCTGTCGCCGGTCGGGAGAGGGACGCCGTCGCTGACATCCACCTTGTCTGAGTGAGGCAGTTAGAGGGCTTCGGGCCCCATTGTGTTGTGCTTCTCGCGGCCAGCGGCGTGCTGGTCATTGCCCCCGTCCCGGCTACCCGGGATATGGTCGCTTGTCGCCGGCACCTCGCACAGAGGCGGGATACGTCGCGTGCGCTCGTCGTGATTGAAGTACGCATTCTGCAAGACTGGTACGATTGAACTCAAAAGCTTCTCCTTTTCGCAGCGCAAAATCGGTAAGTTGTTGGCAGCAATCGTGGGGAGTGTCTATGCGATTGGAAACGAAACACAGTGAATGGTCTCTGGTGTTGCTCATCCGCAAAAGTACGAAATTTGCGACGGCTGAAGGGCGAATGGATGACGTCCCCCCCTTCCAGTTAATTGCCCACACTGCCGCGCCAAAGCGAAGCGAAGCGGGTTGAGGTGGTCCTAGCGCCGAGAGCCGCGCCGACATGTCCGAAGTCGGCCGGGGGGCAAAGTCGGTGTTTTCGCGGGCTCGCGGCATTCTTTCCACGGGCGGGTCCTGCTCGACATTGCTCCCCATTCTAAAGGAGCCACAGCTTTTGACTAAAAAGTGCGGTGTGATTCGATGGTTGTCCGGTCACGAAGTGTTGTGCTGGAGCTGTCTGCATCCACACCCTTCCGAAGTCTGGGGTCGATTAACTGCATATTGATGATGCCAGCAGCCAGAGATGAACTTGGTGCCATCACAGGTTTGCGTCACTGAGTAAAACGTGCAAAAAGTGAAGCATCAAGATGCACTCTCGGACTTGGACCGGAAATACTTCCCGGTCGCTCCTTGTGAAGTTCAACCCCGTGTAAGGTCTTAGCAGAAAGATGTTCAATTCAAAAGACCAATCAGGGGATTCTTATTAATGCATGTGCACCTGTTTGGGCAGCTTTCTCCTACGCCTACCGTATACGTATCCAGAATTGTGTAAGCACCCGTATCAGGCTTGCTTTCACGGACGTGCTCCCCCAACCCCAGATCAAACCCCACGGGACTGGTTCCTAGGCCATACGTACGGGGTAATTACCGCCGAATGGCAGGCGACTTATTACGACGATGGTGCCCGCTTCGCTCGTCTCGTCGAGGTTCGTCCCAGTTTTTGTGTTGAAAGTCGAGACCGCCAACAGCTAAAACATCATGTCCAAGGTATTCACTGCTGAAGAAGGTCAGTCCATGATGGCTCTCTGCCCCAATTCCTCCTTGCTGACCCCGAAAACCATCAGTGCGAAAGCACAACACCCCAGACAGCTGCTGGGTCGTGCTCTACGGCAAGGTGTACGACGTGACCGAATTCCTCCCTTCCCACCCCGGCGGCTCCAAGATCATCGTGAAGCTGTCCGGCAAAGATGCGACCGACGAGTACGACCCTATCCACCCCCCAGGTATCCTCGAGGAGAACCTGAAGCCCGAAAACTGCCTCGGCACGATAGATCCTGAGTCGCTGGCTCTGCTGCAGCCCGCGCCGACCAAGGCAGCAGACGCGAAGCCCAAGGAGGGGCCGCCTCGCCTGGAGACGCTGCTCAACCTTGATGAGATTGAAGAGGCTGCTACGAAGCTGGTCCCCAAGAAGGCATGGGCATACTACTATTCCGCTGCGGATGACCTGTGGACGAAGAGCAACAACGGCCGCGCATACAGGCAGATTCTACTCAGG